CCCCAAAACCCCAAAACCCCAAAAGACCAGATCCAGAAAAATAGTAAATTAAAGGTAATTAAATATTGTATTTTAAGAATTTATAGTCTGACCTGAACTATCGAAATCCGTGATTGATATAGATAATGGATTGATTTAAGTTCATTTTCCATATGAGAAGCCTTATTATTGCTAGGAAAATTACATAAGATCTCTAGTCAAAGCTCTAAGGAAAAAGTAAAACGCATTATTAGAGTCCCCAACTGGAACTGGCAAAACCTTGTGTCTTTTAAGTGGAACTTTGGGATTCTTGAAATCTTATGTTGATAATCCAACCATATTTGACGAATTTGATGAAAATGGAAAACCATTAAAGCATATTAACTCATCGTAACCCTCAGAACCAGATGATGAATTTATTTAAGAAAATCCTGATGCAATTTTAGAAGAATCAAAGTAAACAAAGAAAAAAGAAGATTCGAATTCCCAGAAGGATGATGAAGAAAAAGGAAAAAAGAATTACCTTAACTAAGATAAGAGAATTATGATTATTTATTGCACTAGGACTCATTCCTAGATTTCATAGGTCATTAAGGAAATCAAGAATAAACTTTCATACGAGATTAATGTAATACCATTAGCCTCTAGAAAGCATATGTGCATTTTTGGTGAATAATTTGAGGAGGAAAGTATTGATCAAGTTTGTAAACTTGCTAGAGAAAAAAATTAGAAGTACCATAAGAAAAGATTTACCACACTTCTGAATGCAGATAAAGTAAACTTTAGAGGGCACCAAAAAGCATTAATGAGGATTATGGATGGCATAAGTAAACGATAGAAAAAGTCCCATGTAAAAAAAGTTGAAACAAGGTAGTTGTATACATTTGACCTCGACACAGAAAATCCTGAAGATGCTGCACTGTAAAAGAAGAGATAATTAGATATTAGACAACATGAAGAGAAATTAAGATAGTATGAAGAATAGATTTTTGTTTCAAATGTAGTTGAATCGAATACAATGAGAAATAAAAAGTAATATGCTAAAGATTTTGATGAAATGAGAAGGAAACATTAGAGTGGAGTATGCCCTTATTATAACGGTGGTGAGAAGCGCATATTTGAAACTGAACTCAACATTAACCCATTTTTTGAAAAAATGCAATAAAAAATACTTACATAACCAGTTTATGATATTGAGGATTTGACTAAGCTTGGAAAATAGCATTCTCTATGTCCCTATTATCTGGCAAGAAGTAAATTATCAAATGTTGATATAGCCATCATTCCTTATCATTACATTCTGACACCTAGTATTCGGAGAAAACTCCCATTAAAAATAGAAAACTCGATTATAATTTTTGATGAAGCTCATAATCTAGAGAGAATTTGTGAGGAAATTATGAGTTTTAAATTATCAGTGGATAAACTTGTTTAATGTGAGAAAATTTTATAAAAACTAGAAACTATGTATAGAGAGAAAGACTGTATGTCTGCTAATGTTACAAACTAAAATAATGAAAAAGCAGGAGATAAGCTTGATGATACTGAAATTTTGAGAACATTTGTTGATTAACTTAGAAAAGTTATTGATGTAACTCCTAGCTTAAGAAGGCATTAAGGAGAAATGGAAAGAGGAAACATTAAGTATTACCTTTATGACATTCAGGAGGTTCATAATATTCTTGAAGAAGCATTAAGGCCAGTATTTAGAATTGATAAATAAGAAAGGAAAAAGAAGAAGAGACAGAAAAAGTAAAATGGAGACAATAACAATAATGAGGACGAGCACGGTGACGGTGGCAATGATACACCCAAGGGAATGTCAAGCGGAAGTGAAGATGAATAAGAATAGTGGGAAGGCATCGGGGGTGCTAACAATGCCAGTGATTTATACTACAACGATATTAAGGATAAGACATTAACAGATAAAGAAAGAAAATAGAGAGCAAGATGTATGATGATTAATAAAAGAGTAGATGAGCTAATTGAAGTGCTGGATTAATGTATTGCTGATCTTTAATCTGACTCAAAAGCATTAAGCAAACTAAAAAACAGCTTGAAGACAGTGCAACATCTTAGTAAAATTACTGAAAGAGAGAGATAAGACTTTAGACTATATATTGAGCAAGTTAGCTATATAGCAAATAGTAAGTTAAATATGAAATAATAATATTTAGAAAATGTACCAGGTAGAGCATTTGAGGCTAGTAAAAAATTACTTGGATATATATGTTTGAATCCAAGCTATATTTTTAAGCAATTAGTTAAAAAGAATCCTAGGTCAATAATTTTAACAAGTGGTACACTCTCACCAATGGACTCATTTGCAGATGAATTGAGAACGTAAGTATTAATAAAATTAATATTCACTAGAACTTTTGGAGTTTAATTAGAAAATTAACACGCAATAGATAAATCTCAACTGATGGTTTCAGTAGTTTAATGTGATTTCGAAGCTCACAGTTTGAACTTCGTTTATGATAGAAGAAAAGATTACTAATAAATAAATGGGCTAGGCAGATTTATCAAAAAGTTGGAAGTGAATATTCCTGGTGGAATTCTATTATTTTTTCCCTCATATGAATTGATGTCCCACATTTTGGATATTTGGGATCAATCATAAATAATATTTAACAGGGAAATCTTTAAAGAAGCAAAAAATAGCAAAGAATTCAGGGAGATATTTGATAAGTATTTGAAAAGAATCCAAAGAGGCTGAAGAGCAATGCTAATGTGTGTATGCAGAGGAAA